TTTTATATGATCTTGATGTGGAATGTAGTGACTAAGAGTTTTAGTGGAGGCCCGTAGTTTGGTTTTGTCATCATTTAGATCGACGATATTCGTTGAAGGGCTCACCATTTTAGTGGCCCATAGACCTGACTCCAGGATCGTACAAATGTTTGCTATTGCCTATTTTCGTATACAATCATCGACTTAAATCAAGTTATCCAATAACGGAATTAAATAAGTCGAATAACGAGAATTGACTTGTGAATACATATATTTCGTATATGAAGCGAATGAAACAGAGCAAAGCAGAATGACACGCAGGGAAGATGGCTGGGAAGCCAACTCCATTTTAGTCGAGCGTTACTCAATATTTATAGTCAGACAAAATAAACTACAGACATGTGATGAGACATGGGATATGAAGTGTACACACATATACGCTCATATAAAAACAGCCAAGACTGATAAGCGAATAATTGACAAGGTCAAAATATGACTCAAGTAGGATGAATAGAATGGAATGTCCGAAAGCTAGAATAAGATACATGGGCTTAATATAATAACTGACACTACAGAGTGATAAATACGTGTCAGGTCTCGCGTTATTTGTATTTTCTTATTAAACAACTTGTAATCCTAAGACAGACCACTTTAGAATAGCCACTAAATAACGTCTACATTAAAAATCTACTAAACAGTCGGTTGAAATGCGAACTAATTATCAGTTTCATTTTGTAAAGTCGAATATCTCCGTATTTACCTGTCTGCTAATTTTCCTTGTTACATGTTTCCATTTTTGCTTGAAGGATGCTAAGCATGCAGGTAATTGGGAGCATCGTGATATACATAACTTATATGGGTTATACGTACATAAGTCAACTTGGGATGGACTCATGTTGAGGTCGAACGGCGTAGAACGTCCTTTTGTGTTGACCCGTGCGTTTTTTGTTGGTTCACAACAGACAGCAGCTGTTTGGACTGGAGACAATACTGCTGATTGGTCACACTTAAAGGTAATTTCTTGGTCTTAAGATTTATTTTCATTGATGAAAGAGTTCGTTAACGGTGTGGATCATACCTAGTAAATAATTATGATAAATGTGTGCTTGATTTAGTTTCATTCATTGTCCCGTGTAATTATAATAACCACGGTTTTCAGAGCAACCATTAAAAGTTGTTTTCTTATCTAGGATTATGGTCATTCAATAAAGGATGTATTGATACGGTTTACGAAACTAGTCATAAAAGATAAAAGGAAACGGTTATTTTGTACACATTTTTCAGACATTTACATCTAAATTTTCACCTTAGGTTGACATTTAGTTAAAATAGCATCTATTAACAAAATGGCTTTCGGACCATACAATTCCGAGTGAAATCTCTGTGTTTGTACGTGCGCATTACCCTGTGAACAATTCAGATCTGAGGAGCATATAAGTTGCAGTTCCTTCTGCATTAAGACCTTAGATAGTAAGTCAAAATATTTGACTTTTTTTTATTAAGTTTCCATAACTTTTAGTCCTTAAGGTGAAGACTGATCGGACAACTAATTGTGGTCAATATATATATATATATATATATATATATATATATATATATATATATATATGTTCTCAGGGTCTGTGTTACGTATGACTGACTGATTGAATTGGTTTTAGTAAGTTGAAATACAATTCAAATCACAACCAGTCTTTTGTCTTGGACCATTTTGTTGTGTTTAAAGGATACTAATAATGGTTTTAGCATTAAAACTCATCATTTGCGATGATTATTATTACTTTCTGGATATAGCTACCGATATTTTATTACAATAATTCCTGAGACATGTTATCAGTTGTTACTTGTTTTAGAGACTATAGATTATGTATTACGCACTTGGTTACTATGCATGGTATTTTTCGTTGCTCTAGATTTCAACTTCTATGCTTCTCAGCATATCAGTCGTAGGGATAACCCTATGTGGAGCTGACGTGGGAGGTTTTTTTGGCAATCCAGATTCTGAGTTATTGACAAGATGGTATCAGGCGGCTGCTTATCAACCATTCTTCAGAGCTCATGCACACATAGATAGCAAACGCCGTGAACCTTGGCTAGTGGCTTCGGAATATATTGATCCCATTCGGTAAGTGCAATATTCCTCCTGGTTTAATACAATGACTTCTTTGTACGAAGAATATGAGACGTGCTTTGTGTAGAAATGATAACATTGATCAGCCTTCCAGACTAAAGTAGTTGGTGTAGATTTTAAATTTATCGAAACCATTCACTTGCACTTTCATCATTGTATTTAGTTGTAGTAAGTTAATTCTGGTTAAAAACGTGGTTAGTTTCCCATGTCTTTTAAGAACACAAAAACAGAAATCCAGCTAACAGATCAAAGTGTACCAATGAACCGGGAAAAACACAAGAGAAAAAAACTGTATCCTAAAAGAATAGTTAGTTGTTCGGGATATATATCAAAAAGTGTTTAACCCACTCCATTCAACTGTATTTCATACCATCTGAAATCCTATATCTTCTGGCTCATATACCCAAACGACCTCATCGCTTTTCTGATGTGCTCACCTTAGCTGATTAATCCTGTTAACCGATAATACATATCTAAGGTTTAATTGACGCAAAGTTGAGATACTGTAAGTTTTTGCATATAGTTCAAGATTTCTAGAGATAATACATGACATTATGAAAGATTGCGCAAATTGTAATTAGTAAGTTTCATGGTTTTTGCAACTGAACTTAGATTTTTCTAGACCATTGAGTACTCAAGAGAAACTTGTTGTCATGTTTCAATACATTCGTCGCTATACCCCCCCATGTTATATCCGAGCGAAGATTAAATCACGAGTAACTTCTGAGACATATTAATTAACTAAGATTATCTATACATTCTCATGGTATAGTCATTCAATAATTAGATTATGTATATTTATATTCCTCTTATTATAAGCTTCATTTTGACCTATAATTTATTATTATACGATTTACTGTCCCTAAATTATGCTCAGTTTATTAACTACTGTCTCCCACGTTCACAGTCACTTTTTGGCTTTATTGTGTACAAATGTTATTTCATATTTTATGGTGCGTTGCGGTCTGTTTGATTGATATATAAACCCAGTATGTCTGAAATAAATGATTTGATTTTCATATTGGAAGCTGGTATTGTTATTCTGGACTCAAGTGGGCGGGCTAGGCGGACATAAGACCAATAAGGACGCTAGACTGCCCGTACCGGTTGAACGTCATTGATTTGGCACAGTGCTAAGATTGTGTAAGTCGTATTTTGATTAGTGGATAAATCACGTGATAAAGGCCGGACATAAAGTCACAACACCCCACCTTTAAACTGTCATCAATTTTCTACCGTTCACTTTGCACAGAAACTGTTATCGCTTAGTGAGATCATCTTAAGAATTAAGTATTCTGCAGTTTCCATCGAACAGATTAGCTTAATCTCCTGACTGTTGACTAAGGTACGATCACGAAATGGGGTTCATTTAGTTAGAAACTAGCATGTCTTAATTGATTCTATGTTTAGGTAAATTAAAACCACTAGTGTACTTTGTTATTATCACACCAAGGTTTTAGTGTGGTATAAATGTCTTTTAGTTCAAAGGTCTAACCATTTACCTCGATAGTATTGTTTTCATGATATTATCTATTATAAGCTCATTAGGGTAAACAATCCAGCTTTTACATTCTTGGACAGCGTAGCGCACAGACGTAATTTATTTAGTATAAATAATTAAAACAAAGTGGAGAGAATTCATTGAGCTTCTTAATGCTTTCTTCCAGTGTAAAATATGTGTAACGAGACTCTTCCGGCGACTTATTTCACAGTTATAACTTTTTGACTGTGTCGTTGGAAATGCTTTTGCATGAAATACGTGGTTTAAATCGTCCCCACATACATTGCGCTGTAGCTGACGATGACATGAAAATTTACCCGACTAAAAGAAATTCAAACTTGTAGTAGGGTTTGGCAGCGAATTTCGAACCTTTTATCATTATGGTCCAAGCACTCAGGATAACATTAAAGCAACTGCTTTAAATTTATTGGTCACACTCGTCGCCGTATTAATCAACAATTTTTCACGTCCTCACTCTTTGCACTCATTAAACCTGTAGCTCAATAATATTAATGATTTTAAAAATGGCATAATCGGCCGTTATTGTTTTAATATGGATATGAAAGCTAATAATTTGTTCATTGATTAACATTTTAATGATAATAAGCTATAGTAATTATCCTATCACTAGTTCAAGTCTGAGTCCGGACATGGTTTCAACTTTAGATAGTTTGTTTCTCATCATATTTGGGCCAGAACCGTGTGCACCTAACCATATATTTTGAGTTTATGTTGATTATTGCAATACTCTTATATGTAGCCAGATGTTTTTCAACTTTTGATAATAAAATGATCGCTTTTATTTCGCAGAAAGGCAATACAAGCTCGCTATCAATTACTTCCATACTGGTATACATTGTTTGCTCGTTCAGAAGCAAACGGTCAACCAGTTATGGCACCAATGTGGTTTCATTTTCCTAAAGATGTGAATACGTATGGTTTGGATGATCAATATATGATTGGAGAAGCTGTGCTTGTGAGTCCTGTCACTGATCAAGGTGCTGGCTATGTGCAGTTATATTTTCCGAAGGGAACATGGTATCATTATCCATCGCTTGAGGTAAATGATCATTTGTATGGCGTTTTAAATAGTTTTGCTTCACAGCTAATGTGTAATATGAAAATAAGGGTAAATCCTACATAAAAATCTAGACTTTTTATTTATAACTCTATGAAAAGAAGAGATAGAGTTATGGTAAAATGTTAAAGGAACAGTTTGTCTTTAATTATACCGGTAATCAAAATATTCACTGAGTAATGTACAGACTCATTGAAAAAATAGAATGACTTTATTTATTGAGTTCAACAGACAAGTACGTGAATGTCTTCTTTTCTATAATACTGTTATAGTTATCAAGAGCTACCTTAAGCTACCAAAAAAACTATACTATTTCAGAATCGCCTATTCAGTTTGCTTAGTACTATTCAAACGCGTGTTAGTTTAATTCGGTTATTTATTTACACAGAAGAAGTGGCTTGCATTAAGTCACGAAACGTCAGAAATACGATTTAGGATATAACAAAAATATATTTATTAATAACCTTCTACCCGATGTGAGTACTGAAGCAGTTTTTCCGAAACCACGTGCACCATTCAAACTGGCTGCCTTCAACGTTCGCACACTTATGCAGGTTGGACAACAGATAGGGCTGGCTATGTCTTTAGAAAGTCTTAATATCGATGTTTGCTGTCTATCCGAGACCCGTATTCAAGACTCTGGCGAAGTACTACAAATTCGATCTCCATCTGTCGCTTCGAAAAGCTTGTTTTACGTGCGTTTATCCGGGGACCCTGTGGCATTTTCATCTCGTCTTGCTGGCGTTGGTGTCGCACTAAACGCTAGAGCTGAGGCAGCACTAATCGATTGGATCCCCATCAACAGTCGGTCATGTGTTGTTAGATTAGAGAGTTCCATCAAAGTGAGAAGAAATCGGCGTGAGAAACGATGTCTTTTCGTCATCTCCGCCTATGCTCCGACAGATTGCAGCCCGGATGCGATCAAGGATGAATTCTACCACCTGTTAACTGTTCTTCTCCAGGAAGTGCGTTCGACAGATATTGTAGTACTAGCCAGAGACTTGAATGCTCAGGTCGGGCGTCTAGGCACAGAAGAGAGTCGTTTAAGTAGCCGATGGGGACTTGTTGGTCGCACGACAGATAACGGGGACCGTCTACTGCAACTGTGCACAGACCACAACCTGTTTCTGGCTAGCACTAACTTTCAGCACAGTCATCGCCGATGTGCCACCTGGCGTCCTCCCTCTGCATCCCAAGCCTGGACTCAGATTGATCACATCGCGTTCAGCTACCGCTGGCGTGGTTGTGTACAAGACTGCCGCTCCTTTTGGAGTACCTATCGGGACTCTGACCATGCTTTGGTCTGCGCCAATCTTACCTTACTTTTCAGTGGCCGACGAAGTGACTGCCATCAACGGATTGATATTAGCAAGCTGGTTGTAACTTCTGTTGCTAGTAAGTATCGAACCGAGCTAGCTACCATTCCACCGAAAAGTATTGATGAGCATTGGTTGCAATTGCATGACGCCATGAAAATGGCGGGTACAGTCAGTTTTGGGTTCGCGAAACGTCCCGCTTATAAGCACTGGGTTTCTTCAGGCTCCTTACAGCTCAACGAAGCCAGTCGGTCTACTCCGGGTGACCGTGAGTTTGACCACAAATGAAGGATTTTACGTAATTAAATTGGGCAAAGCTTGCGTTAGGACCGAGAAGCCTGGTGGTCAGAGCGTGCTAATGAGCTGGAAGCAGCACCTGCATCTGGCAACTACCGGAAGCTCTCCCAACTTATCCGAGCCACCGACAGCAAGAAGTCTGATGTGAGCGAAACAATCTACGAGGATGATGGGATGCCAATCACTGACATCCATTGACGCTTCGGACGATGGGCAGAGTTTTTCGAAGGGCAGTTCAACTGTCCTGCTGCTCCGACAACATCGGTCGGACTGTCCTGCCCTCCATGGCCGGTGACGACTGATCCACCAAATGAGGCGGAAGTCCGCAAGGAACTCCAGCTCTTGAAGCGTTACAAATCACCTGGCCCAGATGACTTACCTCCGGCTCTTTTTAAAGATGGTGGTGACTTTTTGACTAACGAACTGACGACGTTGTTTACAAAGGTTTGGGAGCTAGAGAGTGTACCAACGTCATGGAATGAGTCGATAGTTGTCCCTATTTTTAAAAAGGGTTCATGTCGTTCCTGCAACAACTATCGGGGGATAAGTCTACTTCCGATTGCGTCCAAACCATTGGCTTCCGTCATACTTCGTAGGTTGTTCAAAACTCGAGAAAGATTGACTCGCGAGGAGCAGGCTGGGTTTCGTTCTGGTCGAGGATGTATTGATCATATCTTCACCCTCCACCAAATGTTAGAACACCGCCATACTTATCACAGGCCAACAATCGTAGTGTTTCTTGACATCAGGGCTGCCTTTGAATCGTTAGACAGGACTGTTCTCTGAGATTGTCTATTGAAGAAGGGTGTGCCTGAGAAGTTTATTAACATCCTAAAAGCCCTATATAAAAACAGCTCAGGCAGAGTGAGGGCATACAACCACCTCTATCAATTGTTCCATTCGAGTAGTGGGGTTAGGCAGGGTTGCCCAATCTCACCATTCCTCTTCAACTTTGCCATCGATGACATTCTGGAAACAGCTCTGATGAATGTAAGTAATGGTGGTGTGGATCTGTTGCCTGGAGAAAGACTTCTCGACCTTGAGTATGCGGATGATATTGTCTTACTGTGTGATAATGCCCAAGCCATGCAATCTGCACTTAATCAGTTGGCAATCAATGTCCGTTGGTACAGTATTTGCTTTGCACCTTCGAAGTGCAAAGTACTTCTACAAGACTGGTAGGATCCTAATCCTGTACTCAACCTGGATGATGAGCAGATAGAAGTAGTCGAGAAGTTCGTGTATCTGGGTAGCTGCATGAGTGCTAGTGGGGATGTGAGTGATGAGATCAATCCACGTATAGTGAAAGCCAGAGTGGCTTATGCCAATCTGGGCCACCTTTGGCGCCTTCGTGATGTTAGTCTGGCTGTAAAAGGTCGGATCTACAACGCGTCGGTGAGAGCAGTTTTGCTCTATGCTTGTGAAACCTGGTCTCTCCAAGTTGAGGACGTTAGGCGACTATCTGTGTTCGATCACCGCTGTCTCCGAAGGATTGCTGACATTCAGTGGCAACACCATGTCAGTAATGCAGAGGTTCGGCATCGTGTGTTCGGGCACAGAGACGATAACGCAATCGGTGTCACCATCTTGAAACACCGACTTCGGTGGCTTGGACATGTTCTACGAATGTTGTCCCAGAGAATTCCACGTCGTGCATTATTTGCCGACTCTGGGACTGGTTGGAAAAGGCGGAGAGGTGGTCAGTGTATGACATGGTGTCGTGGGATGAAAGAAAGCTGCAAAGGACTGGCTTCTGTTGGACCTTCACGACTCCCTGGCTGGGGTCCGAGAGATGGTGCGACACAGTGGCTAGAGACGTTATCAGATATGGTTCAGAATAGAAGCCATAAGAGCGATCCTACTGTAACCTTCTTTTACTTTCTTCATAAAAAAAGTAGTTGTGTCTTCCTTAACTGAAAGATTTTTTCTGATTGTACCTTTCCGTTCCCCCATTTTTACCATTATTATTATTACACCACCTTAGATCAATCTCTGTTATTATTCTCTCTTTTTTTCTTTCCCCTTAAATTCTCATTGTTTTGTGTGGCGCATTCTTGTACCAATATTTATGTGTTCAAATAAATAAATCCTACCCGATGCTCAATTTATATGAAACTATCAAGTTAAACCTTGTTAGTGGTATCTATATAATTATCAGTTAAGGTTTTTAATGCCTCCAGAAACCATTATATGGATGTGTTTTGATGTTTTGAAATAAAATATCATGTGTCTACAACTGTTATTTAACATAATAATGTCATTAAAGCTTACATTTTACTAATTGTTAAATCAATGAATTATGTTTGTTGTCCTATCATAAACTGTTCTGGTCGATTCGATAAAGTCCTGTATTTGTTATTCGTGCGAAATTAAATTTATCAATAGAAAAAGTCATATGAAATTCCTATATTTAATTGTAGGTATTTGCAGGTGGACAGTCGACACAATATCCAGTAACGATAAATTCCATACCTGTATTTTATCGAGGTGGGTGGATTATACCACGAAAAGAGCGTATACGTCGTTCTTCATGGCTTATGCGTAGTGATCCCTATACATTTGTTGTTTGTTTGGACCCTCAGAAGCCTGATGCCGTTGGTTATATATACATAGATGATTTCCATTCAACTTCTAAATCAAATGCCCAGTTTTTCAAAATTATTTACCAACGAGTTGTCGACCCAACGGGTGCAGGTGTGCATGGTGGACGATTGCGCTTACAACGTTTACCATTACCTGGTGAAACTTCCATAGTACTACCTAAAGATGATGTTTTTATACCGAAAATTGAACGCTTTGTTATTGTTGGGTTCAGTAGTCCCTTGGAAAGAATTACTGTGATCGATGCCCATAAACCACGAAGAAATATAGGGTTTTCCATTACTCCGTCCTCTGCTGGTTTTAAGCACGTACCACGCATTGTCGTTGTTCGTAAACCTGATCTTTCATTAAATGATGAATGGGAAGTGCATTTTGTCACAGGGAAAGAATCCAGGGATGATTTGTAAATGATAGTTGATATCAATCCTATTTCTTCAACATAGTACTCTCATGTGTATATGATTTGGCTCCAAGTTATCTTGTTTTCTAAAACACTTGCTCAGTTTTAATTTTTACATCATTTTTCTCCATCTCTTCAAATGTGACGTGTACTCTTACCTGTCTGTTTGTTTTCTTTTCACTTGTCGTCTCGTTTTTTCCTGTTTTTAGCGCATCTTTCTCAGTTCCCTATTTCTATTTTGTCATTGTGTCTGTGTTTGAATGTAAACAAAGAATTTTCTCATTGCTTTTATGTATGTTTTTATTTTAAAAAGTGAATTTGTTTAGTTAAGATAGAAACCTTTTCGAATTTATAATGGGATCGTCTAAAGATTTAGGTGCATATTTATATAAATTGTTCAACCATTTACCTCCAGACATTACTCATTTGTCTCAACTCTGTGTATAATCACTAGAATATAATGGCCTGGTAAACCTTATATTAGCACTGAGTTTGAAAGAACACCTAACCGAACTTATCTTAAATATAGGCTTATTTCCAATATGAGAATTCGTGTATTTAATGCCATATGCTTAGATCAAATCATCTGGTGTAACACCACAACCACATAAACCAGAAAGTGAAGCACTACAAAGGTACATCTGTGAGTGCCTCCAAATGCCCTAATACGGCCGACAGTAGGGAGAGTCCACTCTGCCGCTCGAAATGCTCTCACATGGCCATGCGTATATAGCCTCTGTCAGGGAAGTCCTACTCATTGCCTTCTCGTGGCGAGGGTGTTGGACATGGAGAGTCCACCTAGGGGAGTTGGAAAACCCTGATTCCAAACCAATGATGCACATGGGCTACAGTGTCCTGAGGGAACAAATGGCGTATGAACTAATCGTCGGTCACCTGCTACTATGGGACTGCATCTCTTTATGATGCCCCATTGCCTTGTGGATCAGACCTTCATGTCGAAGGCTCGGGGTGTGGCCCCCTAAGAAAACCACCTGCTTCGGTTTGGGCACCCGGACAGTATCACAGCTCTCACACAAATCAAATGGGATTTGTGTGGTGCATATGTATTTGGTGCCTCCTTGTACCAATATCTATGTGTTCAAATAAAATAATACGTCTTTGAGTTATACATACTATGAGGCTTAAATCAAAAATAGTCTTTAAGCTAGTGGGAAAATCACCTATTCGTCTAAATACTGATACAATTAGTGCTAATAACATTACTGATTATACACTAAAGCGTAATTGATTGATTACAGATGGAAAACAACTAGGATTTCGAATGAACCTGTCACTTATTGGCAAAACTATTTCATAGAACCCCGGTATTACTCACTTCAGTGATTGATTGATCATATGAACTTGTCAGAAATATTCCACAGGAAGTAAGTTTTATAAATCCCTACCATTCTTCATTTGTGTAGTACCACTTTTTACAAACACTGATGTTGATCTAAAGACAACCACAAATCATCTGTACTTCGAAATTAACTAGATATCAAGCTCAAAACACACATGCTTTTGATCATATTCCAGTATGGGCAGGGTTATTCACGGTTCAATTATTTTCACTCCATATAGCATTTAGATGACACGTTATCCACAGAGGAACCCCTATTGAAAGACGATTCCTTTTTTCAAGATATCATGATTATATTGGATTAAAGCACTCAAAAGTAACGTACTTTTGTAGGGTCAGTGATAGCCTTTTTCTACCACGACATTTTTAAAAATAGGCTCTGCCTACGAATGTCACTGCTGGTGTGTGTTAAAATTGGCAATCTGGACATAGTAAAGATAAGTGGCATCACAATGCATTGGGTTTAATGCTGAGTGATGTAGGGGATTACGAATACGAAACCCGGTTTTCGTTTATCATTATGTATTTGATCGTTTTCCTTTCTGTTATTTTTCCACCTGCTAGTCTGTTCAAGTGTAGAATCATATTGATAATATTATGTTGACTTTGACCTAGGAGAAATCAGTTAAAGGTGATAATTTCAAATAAAAACTATTCCGGTCTTAAGGAAAATTAGTGATGAGATTATTGAGTTTTTAGTGTTGACTTAAGATTTTCAGTTCCAATTACCAGATAAAGTCCTAGAGATGTTTTTACTAATTTACTGTAGTCGTAGTTTGTTATAGATAAGATAAAGTTTTTCGTCTTTGTCATTGAAAACAAAACGAGAATTAATTAATTACTATTTTGTTCAGTAGTTTGTTATATACCCTTCACTTCTTTTAATGTCTGTTGTGTTGAAAAAGACCCAACAGTTTTCTTAGAAATAAATATTTTGAATACAATCATACTGTTTGGGGACTAAGTCAGCTAGACCTGAAATTACCGTTACATTGATTGATCTTCGTTACGTGATTAATCACTTAATTCTTATTTCATAAGAACTGTTCTATTGAAATTTCTTTTATCAGCCTACCACCTGCTTCAGCTTACTCAGTCCAGATTGTCTGTCCGTTCGTAGAGATCATTTGTTTAAATTTCGTAGCTTTCCAAGCGAAAAGCCAGAAATGATTCCTGTTCTTACCTAGTTCCCAAAGAACATATCGTACAATTGTAGTTAATCTGTTCCTGAAAACATTTCTGCAGCTTTATTTAACTAATGCTCATTGTAACAAACGTATTCAAGAGGATGTGGTTTCGACATCAACGAAATGGATATTTCATCTTGCTTATTACACATGGATATCATAGCTATGAAGGACAGAAACATTTAAAGATGAATACAATTAATCAAAATAAAAAGGTGACCGCATTTGTTTTATATTCTGCGGAGATCGTGCTACATTGAATGTATATTGACCTTTATTTGTAGTGTTTCAGGGGAAAAAATCTGATGAGCACATAAGAGTCCGAGATAGATTGTAAGGACGGACATCTAAATATAACTAGGCTACGGTTTTGCCATATCCTAAATAAAGAAAGCAGTTAAACTCCATTATTTTTCAGATCATTTGTAAGGGGTTAGAACAAGGAAACATTGAATTGAGTCACAAATAAAATAGCGCAAAATATTAGTGTAATTTACAATGCTGCAGAGACATATTAGATACAAACGCTGTGAGGCAGTGGCATTAAAATTCCAAATAGGTGAATTCACCAACACAATATTTTTCCGTCCTCTGTTTATCAGTCATTTGAATATTATTGAAAATCTATAATCAGTTGGGAAGTTGCAAAGTACTACTGTTTAGTGTGTCAATATAGACTATAAATTTTTGTAAGAAAGTTTACCAGATTTATTATGGATCCTTAATATTGTCAAATTGGGAAAATATTTGGGTGGACAATTGTGTCAATGGATTAACTTTTAGATCCTAAAGTGTAAGGCATACGTGTCAGTCTTATTTATTTGATTCAGCTCCACATATCGAGAATAGGGAATGCTTACTCCTGACTTGCAGTTTATATATTTACTTTAACCTTTTCTTGTAAGGTATTCACATTTGTGCATTTATGTTCCTTAACTTTTTTTTACATTACGAATATTGTTTCCACATTAACCATAAGAATTATCGACATTGTATTATATCCACTTAGTTATGGCGTACTCCTGTACCAATATATATGTGTTCAAATAAATAAATACTTAGTTATGGTACATTAGTTGATTATTAGTCATACGTAATCTTACGACCTTTTTCCTGGTTTTTATTACATAGCCTTTGAACTGTACTCATAATAAATCCTCCAAGTTGTTGTAAAACCCATCGTCCTTAATCTAGAACAACGGTTTACCAGTTAAAATCTATTTTTAGTTTAAGTTAGCTACTTTTATGCAGTATTTAGAAATTAATGACTTGAGCGTACGAAACGACTGGTGGCTCTTTTAAATCCTAATTTAAATGACTCTCTCAACTGTTCTATTATTGATTAAATAAAATGAAATCCATTGAAGTTTGATTAGCTATTTAATTGATTCACTGAAGCTACTGAAATCCATTCTATCAACAGAAGTGCTACTATATTGAGCTAGACTGTTTAGCAGAGTAAGTTTCAGGATGCAACTAACTTTATTATTTGTACACACTTTAATTAAATTGTGTTTGCGACATTTTGACTGTATTTGAGAATTCTTATTATAATTCACAACAATAGTAGTGAGTATGGTGTTTTGAAAGGTTTGTCAGATGTTCACATTCTCCTTGACCTTAAATAAATGAATAAATAAAATGCCACGCCCATGTTACATTTTTGTGTGAGACTTGAATCGCTTATGTTTATTGGTATGGTTTAAAATGACGTAGTCCTAACATCTCATTGTCTTATTAGATCTTAGTTAGATCGCCAAAATCTATCACTTATATTTGTCTTTCTGTTAAGATAGCTTGTGACACTAATAACTAACCTGACAGAATAAGAATAATTTACATTATCAAGAAATTGATTAATGCGACTGTGTCAACACTGTAGGGCCAGTGAAATGTCACTAAGCCCTAGCCAGATCATCCGGCAGTTGGGTCATTGAATATCGAACCGATCATCGATCCCTGTCAAGGTCAAGGACGACCGGTGAGCAACAGTTAATCGTTCGCCATGAACTTTAACTAATTTATTTCTGTGATAACATAATTTGTGTTGTACAGTCTTCAAAGCATCTTTAGTACCTCGATACGTCGATGGAGCAATTCACGTAAAATACTGACCGTGAGATGTGACTCTGACGTTAGCTGGTTCGTTACACCATTCCCGTCTTACTTTAGTAGGCCCTCAATCATTCGACATAGAGCATCTACGCTGGTGATTTACAACACTATTCAAGATTTATGTAATGAGTTAGTAGCAGTCCATGAACCTAGAGAATGAGTTACACACTTCCTAACTTTCATCCTAGCTATTTGTTGGGTATTTAGAATACATTAAGTAACTAACCCTTCTTAGGAATATGCTGAATAAAAAAGTAAGCTTTAAAAACAAGTTAATGAGAACATGTGATTTAGTTGAATGGAATTACAAGTGCTTTGCATAAAAATTAATAGCCCTTAAGTCCGTGTAGCGTAAATAAATCCCCAAAATAAATAACCCTTCAGGTTTTCGACGTTTGATACCAACCTAATTGGTTTTATTGAACCCACCTAGCCAGAGGTGCGCGGTCACACACCCGCATCAGATCGTGGAGAGGGTATATGTCGTGTAACGCTTCCATTTCAACTGCTAGCCAGCTTAGACAAAATGTTCCCCCGACACACCAATAGCCTTCCGAATATATCTTCGGACTCCTTCATTCCTGATTTACTGGGTTGGCATACTTCGACTATAAGGGTGCTACTAGTTAAGACGTTTTCACAATTCGAATATTTGTGGCATCTGTATCCGTCTTTCGATTATTAGGTTGTAGTGATCTACTTATATGAAGAGAACGCGATTGTTGTAATGGAAACATCAATTATTTTAACCAACTGTGTAGAATTATGGTCTACCATTATATTAGTACTGCTCTAATAATAGACCTAATCCTAAATTTGTAGATTTGTCATGATATAACTGCCTAATCTCTAAGATCTTACGTGGAAGTCACACCCTCGACTACACCAACTTATTGTATCGTATCAATTACCAATACATGATGTAGAACAAGGTTAGGCTAGAGAAAGAACAATATATTTAATATGAATAGGAGATATAAGGTAACATTCAGCAGAGACCACGCCTGCATGGCCGAGCCATGCCATCCGATCAAACCCGGTCCATTCAATTCCTTGTTCGCGCCTTCTCCATTGTTAGGTATTTCTCCGCGTTAAATATTGAATATCTATTTTCTGAGTAGTCTCGTGTTCACAGCTTTGTGGATTGTGTGGCTATTGTCCAATGCCACTACAACTGTACCAGTGATTGTTTTAGTGTGCCTTTTCGTTTAACTGTACCAAACACGAACTTTTTCCGTTGTTTGTGTCTTGAACTTACGTACGCACGGTAGTCTCGTCTGTAAACTTTGTCATGATTTTAATATTGTTTCGATACCACAAGATCACAAACAAATATATCCTAACTACAATCCAAAACTGCCCTTCTAATAGTTATCCTACGGGGGGATTTAACCTGGTAATTGGCACGTAATCGATCTTCAGTGGTGATCATAGTCAACTGCGACTCAACACTACCACAAGGTCACTACTTAGCTGAATGTGTGGTGGCATTGGGCCCTTACCACACAACCCTCAAAGCTGAAGACGAGACAACTGGAAAGGTTGATATTTTACATTTAACGTGGAAAAAACTCAACGATGGAGAAGACGGGGAAAATGAACTGAATTAATTCGCATTGATCGGACGGCATGGCTCGATCTTGCAGACGTAGTCACTCCTAAGTGTTGTCACACAATCTTTCATTCATACCGAATATATTGTTCTATCTCTGGCCCAAGTTTTTTCTCCACCATATATTGGTGATTGTTACGATGCGATGAGTTAGTGTGGACAATGATGTGACTTCCACGTAAGATATCATAGATTAGGCAGTTACATCATGACAAATCTATAAACTTAGGATCAGGTCTACTATTAGAGCAGTACTAATATCATAGTAGACCATAATTCTGTATTGGGTAAGCCCGACGTGTAGTGGCATTGGGCCCTAACCACAAATGTATGTCTACCTAAAACTTCGACCACGTTTCCTGAAGACTGATCACAAATGATGTGAGCTAAAATATAGATTTTCAATGGTTCTACCAATCAAAGGCTAATAACAAATCTAGTTCTAATGATCAGAAGGTAGTTCCGAAGTTATTGAGAATGGTAATGCAAGATCAGCAAAATGTCACCGGGCTCTAGACAAAGCATTCTGTATTCGGGTCGCTGAGTGTCGGACAGTTCACTGACCCTTGTCAATTTCAGGAACAAGCAAGGCGCATTAATTGGTCACACGCCATGGACTAGCACATGCGGCTACTTAAAAACTGCACTGTACAGAGACGTTCCGAATATTTTAATTGCTGTAACTAGGGTACATGATGATTCTGCCGAATCATCATTAGGGGAAAGCCTATAAACCAGAGTATCTCTACTTTCAAAAGTCCAAGTGGCAATTCCTCAATAATTTAAAGGTGGCAGAGTTTTGTAACGTAAACTTAATGGACTAACTAAACTAGAAGCTTGAAGGCATAGAACACCTATCAACATTAGCGCTGGTTGAGGGTCTGTGAGTTGTCTAATTAACTCTTGGGTTAATACGAAAGGCTAAGATGTCTGCGTGTTAGGCAACATCCGATCTCTAATCCTGAAAAAGTATCAAACATCAGTGTGTGACCTGTTCAAAAACTCACTTAGCTCACACCGATTGGCAAAGAGAATGAAAGCTCATTAAACGTCAATCTTCAAAGGAGGATGTAGAGAAGACCCAGCATGTAGAACTCAGAGGCATTACTCTCAGTAGTGTCAAAATTAATGGAAGGACTGGTCAGTGAGCAAATAAGCGAATTCATGAGTAAAAACAATGTTCCCCATGAAGCCTTCTCACAGCCTGGAGAACCTGGATGACCTTCCGGGACTAAAAGGTACCGAGTTATGTACGATTCCTCTATTTGTCGAAAGTCTTTGACACGTAGTCTCATGTACTACTCATAGTGAAGGTTGCAAAGATGTGTTTCACTAATCCAAATTTATTCCTGCTCGAAAACCACTAGGGAATAGGATGTTTTGTATGAAGTTAAATAGAAGGCACACGAGTTTGAAGGTCTCTATATCAGGAGTTTCATCGGGAATAATTTTAGGTCCACTCCTGTTCTTAATATTTATTAACAACTTGTTAGACAAAGTTGGCTTGGCAGTACTGATCTGTGCAGACGACACAAAGGTCTAGAGATCTATAAAATTGAAAATGATCCACTTGGTTCTAAAAAGAACCTTACAATAAAAGAGGAATAGGCATTAGACAATGGGGTGAAGCTTAACATATCGAAATATTATTTCATGAACGTTCTGGTTTATTTAGCGCAGAAGACTTATATCTGCCAAAGAAATCCACTCCCGATTGTCTCTTCAGAGCGTGATCACGAGCATGTAACTATAAAGAACTTATACACTGGCTCAAAATTCGTGGAGGATACAGTCAAGTTAAACGTAACTGTTCACTTTATTCAAATGTAACTCTACTCAGTCACCTCAGAGTTTCTCCTCAAAGTGTTTAAAGAATGCGCACTGCCTCAACTTAAGTTTCGAAATGTCCTTGCACCTCATTTCTTCAAAAAAGGTATAAATCTTCTGGACTAATTGTGTAAACCCGGAACTAAGTGTATGATTGGGTAAAACACGAATCTTACGAGGACAGGCACTAACACCTGCTATCGTTTTCGTTGAGCTGTAGGAGAATAAGAGGTGATCTGATGGTGACATACAACATATTAATTACGCCAAGCTACTCCAATACGGGAATTAAACCAAAACATCAAGACCAAGCTCCATGAGATAACGTTTTGAAGATTGCATATAAAAGAGTGAACATTCAGTTACGCTCCCACTCTCTCTCTCACTAATATTTGCCATCATCTACACTTGGTGGAGAAGCACTAGAAGAGGTGGGAACTTTCACGTACATCGTCAGAATCATCGATGAATGAGAAGGATCTAATACAAACGTAAACTCAAGGATTGGTAAAGTAAGGTCAGCATTCCTACAGTTGAAGAACATATGCAACTCACAACAACTGTCAACCAACATCAACGTCCCAATCTTCAATACGGAGGTCAAAAGAGTTCCAGTATACGGAGCTAAAACCTGGAGAACAATCAAAACCATCATTAAAAAAAGTATTTATAGACAATTTTCTACGTAAGATACTCAATATCCATTGACTGGATACCATCAGCAACAGCCTACTATGGGAGAGACTAGACCAACTTCCATCTGGACAGAAAATTATGAAAATATGAGGAACTTGATAGATGGGACATACATTAGGGAAATAATCAAACTGCATAACAAAGCAGTCGCCAACTTGCAGGTAGAAAATAGGGAAGACTAATGAACACGCAGCGGTGAGAATCGGAAGCAAACATCAAATGAATGAATGGCGACAGGAGACATCTGGAAAGGATTTTCATTGACAGAGTTGGATGGAGGATGCTGGTGGGCGGCCTAAGCTACTCCACAAGGGGTAGCAGGCCTAGGTAAAGTAAGCTGCCTACATTCGAAATGCACTTCCAGCCGAAGTGACCACAACCCCATCAGTGGTTAGCATTAAGAAGAGAATTGACGAAATCGTACTCATCAATGAATTACCATCCTTCTCTTGGACCAGCCGTCTGATGCATTTCCGATAAATGTTCACGGTTATCATCACTATATATCAGTAATTATTTCCTACGTCTCTTATTACCGTCCACTTTTCCCTTTATTCTTTCGATCCCGTTTTCTTATATATTACCAGTTAATTAACTTATTTATTATTCTTGAGACAGTCATTTCTTCAGGACACTCCAATTATCACTTTATTATTTCCACATTTCAATTAACCAACCACATGCACGGTAATGCGACAGCTGCTGGTATCCAGTATCCCTACTTCCCTGAGACAAACCTACCCACTCAAACTAAAAGATGTAAAAGTCGATTAATAACTACAAAACTGCTAGAAGTAATGAATCAGAGTGGTTAGGACGCCGCCGATTAATCATCAACAAATACCTGGAACAGTATCTAAAAAACAAGAAGTGAATGCAAACGAATCCGTTGGTATATACAATAGTGCACAAAAAAATATTGGATGATAGATTTGCAGTAACGAAGCTACCAGATAAAACAACTTGAAGATTAGAACTAGGAGTGCTAATGTCAGGTTTAAATTCGTTACACATCCCAAGGAAAAAGTGGTTCTTTACTTTTAAGGTCATCAGAAATACAGTAATCTGATTGGTTTCTAACACTTTTTGCGGAAATACGACTTAATAGTGAGAAGGACGCAAATAAATTTGTCACTCTTTTCGAATGTGTAATACTGACCAGTTCAACCTTCTCATCGAAAAACTGAGTAAGTGACGTAAAAATAAACTTTGATTCGTTTAGAAGATAATCCTGTGGAAGAGATCAGATGTCGTACTTTAGCCAATATTCAGTCGAAATTAAATCGAGGTTTATTGCCATCAGATAAGAAATGTCTGTCGAAACTTGTTAAAGTATTGCTGTTCTCTTTGGAGCAGAGTCCATCTTTTGAAACCAATCGCATATTTACGATACTCAAAAAACTGCTTTTGGTAAGGCTTGGGATTAATTACCTAGTCTTTGTTCTAGAATCCCGAAACCAAAACACTTTTAGCATTAGCTGGAGGATGTTCTGTGCTCACAAAGATGCGTAATTCGACATCAAACAGTGAATTAAAAAGGGATATTGATGACATATGCGTTTTGATTACTGAGGATCCGTCCTTAATTGAAACAACCAGAGATTTCAAGAATAATACTCTAAAAGGAATACAGGAATCCAGTGATCTAAATTCTACTGAATCCAATTTTGTAATGCCTATTTCACCAGATTTCTCGCAAACTCGTAAAGGTTCGTCCAATTTATCTGTTACACAAGGAAATATCAATAACTTAGATTTAAACCAGTTTACATCGTCCTATTCATTCAACCAAGTCTGTCGTAAGTTTTTCGTTTGCTTTCATGAAGTAGATGGGAAGTACCCAGTAACTTGGTGTAATATATATTAGGTGGCAAAAAAGTAGTTAAGTCCTCTAGTCCTCGTTAATGATCATGGTTTATGTATATTCATAAAGCAAACGTACCTCATTCATTTACTTCAAAACTAGAGTTTGTGCTTTGCTAGCACCAGGAAAGATTTACTCGTCTTTTTTTTCCAAATTTGTGAAGACCAGTCGTAGGAACTATTTACAGCATCTTACCTGACGACTGACAACTTTTAACATCAACTTAATAAGATGTTCAAAAGATATATAACTGAACGAGATCAAACAGTTGTCTTTATATAGTAGAATTCAAAGTGCATTAAATCAATCCGGGTCGGTATGGAGATGATCGACGTAGAATTAACCATCAGATGAGAATTCATTTTCTGGACTCTCAATTAATATATGATCTAGGTAGTGAAAAAGATGGCTGATAGTTTCGGTAAAAACCTTAACTACTTAAGTTACTTGGTTGATTAAAATGTCTTGAAGTATTTTTTTTCCTCGTAGCACAACGTAAGTTCAGTACTAATTGTGCATGTTCGTAACACAATAGTGATTCATTTATGCAAAATAGCTAGTATATCTAGGTAAAAGTATATGAAACCATGTTTTTAAAAGTAACTCACAACTTTCTTCTGAGTTTCACCACCAAATTAGGTTATTTCCACCACTGTGTGGTTATGGCAAGAATGTAATTACACTGATATTGTAAACGATTTTTGTTACATTCTGTTTATTTATATTATAAGTTTTGTCTTTCATCTTGCTTCATCGTATATAATAGTAATATTACATGTATTCAGGGTTAGACTTCCTAATTACTAGAATGTGATATAGATGTGTTATAAGAAACTTGGGTTATTAGACGCTTCATATTTAACTTGTTAAGCTCCTAAACAGGACAAACAGAAAATCACAACGCAAAGGAAATTTGAGCTGGCAGCATTACCGTGAGCCGAAAAGGGAAAATAAATAAGATGAGACTGTTCAGGGTTTCAAATATGGCTTGTGGTGAATTCGTCTTCAGAAATGAGATGATTATGAACTATGTTACCTAGTGTATTCAATCAGAAGTTTCTATTAGTAAATTCATGAGACTGATTTTTAGTTTGACTGATGTTGCAAATATATTTTTTGCAAACTATGTACGTTGATCCTCAGTCCGAACTAGTTTGGTATTTTCCTTATTTTAGGAAGTCATTTCTTATATTTTCCCATGGTCGTGCTTACAAAAGACGATGTCGGTGTTTTATGCACAACTTTAAAGTAGGTTATTCTCATTTTTCGAAGAATTGACTCTTCAGATCTATCTGTTCAAAGGAACCTAATATTTGTATTTCTGGTATTCGCTTTCTCCATGATGTTGTACTTAAAGACTTTCCAGCCGAATTATTTCTTCAAAGAACTGATTTCATAGAGGTAAAAGACAGTTTTCTCTGTTGTATAAGTTAACATTTTATATCTCAGTACTTTGGTTACTTCAGCTCTATGAAGTGCTAAGTTTCTGGTCTATCTCTTAATCTGCATAAGTTACCTTTTTTCATAAGGTTTTTTCTCGAGTATCACTCTTTAACCATGCTCGATATCCTAATATTTTGACTACAAGAAGTAATTGTCTTTAGGCAAACTGATGTTTTTGTACTTTGGTCTAGCCGGTAGTACGGACAATAGGAACATCATTATACCATTGAGGAAGTGACAGATTAACCTTTGAGTACGAAAGCCACTAGTGATGTGTAGATAGCCCGTTATTTCTGAAATTCTCTTTATGCTAATTTGATCGTAGACTAGCTCTTTTATATTAGACAGTCGCTGATAAATTTGGTACAGGTTATAAAAAGCTCAGTTTTATGAAGTGACATTGAAGAGTAAAAGGGAATTATGTTGGGGTTGGATCTGTTGATGTATCAGAACTACGTGAATGAGGTCCTAGAATGATGCAAATAACCAGATTAAGAGGTTATTGACCATACTTCAAAATCGCGGTCAGATTCGTATATACTGTAAACTTTTCTTTTTGTACATACAATATTACTGAACGCTCTCGAACTATTCTTGATCTTATACTTACTTTCTGATATTTTCTATCCTGTTTTATTTTCCTTACTGAAAGCTATGTGCGCGAATTGTCACTTGATTAGTAAGTTTCAATAACTTAATAATTGTTGTGCTTGTGAATCGTGACTGTCAAGACTAGAGGATTTTTGTTTGATCATAGGTGTCTCCTAATCATTGATCGTGTGTTATGGGGTCACTAAGTGAAGAATATTGAGGTCAGAAACTGGGCACTTAGTGAGGATACCAGATCAGTTGTGGAGGTTTGGACATGTATTATATATTTCTAACCGCCACTTACCTCTATGCGCGTGTCTGGTGTAGAAGTAGGTTGGAAGAAGGAAAGAATCGGTCAGACTAAAACTTTACATCATCACATAACATCATTAACCGTTGAACTGAGTCACATAGTTAGATGCAGACCATCTGGTTATGGTCAAAGCAATTACTATAACTAGTTGCCAAAAACTCTGAATAAAATAGTTCAGAATTGTTTGCTATGGGGCAGATGCATTTACTCCTTGTCTTCCCTTAGCCTCTAGGTCTTTTAATTATCCTAATCTTTGTTACTTCAAGAGTCTACATCTTTTTCTTGGACCATGTATTTTGCACTCAATATCGTCACTACTTTTACTAATCTAGAATCTTGCCGTGCTGATATAGTTTGGAAACTTGAATCGATGCACATATTGCCGGGTTCCACGTTCCTTATGACAGAATGACTGACTTATTAATTTTATCTCTCACAGAATCCCTCTTTTGTACTTTACGTCACAACGCATATATTTTTACTGAATTCTACCTCAATAAATGAGGTTTTTCTCAAAATGCTGCTGACAACATACTGAACATGATTATGTCGTAGTTTACTAAAGTGTATTAATTTTAACTTTACACATTTTATATCCATCACGTTTTTGCCAATTTTTATATCACTACATGTGTTTCTATTTATGTAGAATCTTTTTCGAATTTTAAATGAAAAGAATTTGGAGATCGCTTATTCAGCTACCAGTTGTTTGATTAGCCTTTGTCGTGCTCTTATCACAAGAATTTATTATCACTTGGATCCTAACAATTACGTATATTCAAGTCGTAAGCTTACCTTTCTTAAAAAATGGCTCATAAGTTTTATTATAAGATTCTATACATGCCTGTGGTTTCGGCTAATGGAGAAGGCAATTGTTCAGATTTTCACAACTAGAGACATGAAGTAAACAAGCATCTATTCTCCATATGAATCAAACTTATACAATAAGAAGGAATACGAGGAATAAAAGTGAAATATTAGGTTTATTGAATTTCGCTTTGAGAGAATTCTAAAAGCCAAATCTGATTTTAGTATTGGGTGGGTTTTTAAGACAACTTATTTGTCTATATAATAGGTGGACTTGGATATTTCAGAAAAATAATTTTAGTTGATCATTTTTATACAACTTGAATTAACTTGCAATCATATTGGTGGTTTAGTGTTTACTTTTTACACCCATTTTCATACTTCTTGTGAATATATAGAAGAACACAGTTTTTGACTTTTTAGCAAATAAAGTGAAGTTTCTCAAGTGATTGATCTCTCAAATATCATACGGAATTGCAGTAAATGGTACTAAGTGTACTCGAAATTTTCGGTTTATGATTAAGCGTTGTGAGAAACTTTAATACACAAAATTCTTCCCATTTTCTACAAACTGGGATTATTAATGATTGAAACCAGTTGAACACTTATTTTGTAGAGCTCTCAGTCTTAGACATTAAAAAAGAGTGAAATTAAAAACCTTGGCTAAAATTAAAGTTGGTTTGTATATATGTTTAGCGAAAAAATGAAGAACTTTGCCAGTACTTTAAGCGTTGGGTTTAAATCGTGCTTGTTTACTTCGAGTTTGCCACTCCTGGTCTACCTTTTTTAAAATTAGTGTTGCTCCTTAATAGGCTTCAATAAAACCCGCCGAATAGATTGATTTTTTTCATATACTTCAGTTCTTAAAACTAAGTTCATTTCACGAACTTGAGTCTAAATGGTTAGTAACTATATCAGTAAAATCTGTATATCTCATATTTCGCCACTGATAGACCAAATGTATTTTGTATGAAACTCGTTTAGGGTGATGCTTTAGGTCAAAATGCAATATATAAATATAAACAAAGATCGCCATGTAAATGCTTCGATCGGTAGTTATCTTTAATATTCATTGAACCTTTGGATGTTTTTTAGATATGTACATATTAATTTTGTTTTTCGATTTAAAATTAACAATAATGGAGAAAACATACTATTGATTTTTTAAACACACACCTCAGAAACTGGCGACCGGATGCCGTCCTCTGGCCCTTCGGGAACACAGTAAGTGTATATATGGTATGTCAACATTTCCAAGTTTGATAATCAAATGGACTGTCTGAATGTTTCGAATGTCCCTTCATTATAGAGTTAGTTGGTAAAATAGAAAAACCATACTATAATACTTAATTTGCACAATGTTCAATAATTGTCACAAACTTCGTTGTTCTTGCATTTCCATACTAATTGCTTTCTATTCCCGCTCTTCCTTTCTTGATCTTCCCCATCTTCTGCTGCCAGACATTACATTCCTGACTCGCGTCATATACTACTTATGTCAATATAAGTAGCACGCACCACAGTTGTATCTGTCGATATCCGTAGTACACACCACAGTAGGTCAACGCACATTTATGCTAAAGTGTGCGTCGATGCTGACCAACATACTTCATAATCGAAACCACAGTAGCATCCAATCTAATCTGTAGAAGTTTTAATTATTCTATTGTTAATATTCTTCATTGAGTTTTAACCAGTCTTAATGAGCAAATTTACGTTGTGTGTGGATCGCCTAGATTTACCCATATTGTCATAAGTTTTGTACAAAAGATATGTTGTGGGTTCAAGTCCCTTCATAAACACTAAGACTGAGATGCAATTAAATCCACTTTACTAGTCCTTAATAAAAAGAAAATGTGCGCTTTGGATTCCACTGCTAGCCACAATCCATACACTGTACCACAGTTGCTGGGTATACATCTAGGTGTTTCGTTTATGTTGATAAAAGTCCAATATCAGTTTATGCCTGATTGTTTCTGCATTATATTCAATAACAATAATTATCATATTCAATTTCCCACAAAGTCATTGCGGATACCGACTAAATTTGACCCATTTGACATTGATTTATTCATTGATCTTGAAAGTTTTACATTGTTTGATGTCTATTCTGAATAATAGTAAGAGGTAAGTTCTCCATAATTTATTATTCATCGTCTGTTTCCATTTGGCTTTCAAGTTTTGAGAACCACTCATTCTTTGTCGCATAATTGACTGAATTTCAGCTACTGAGTAGTAATCCAGTAGTTCATATTTTCAATTTCAGATAAGATGTAATATTCCGAAATCTTAATTCAGTGTTTCCTAGTATCATTTATTTGTTTTTGAACTGTAAAGTAGTAACGTGAAAGTTTTATTTTAGATTTTGGGTTGTGAACTTGAATCGTTTATGTTAACTAAGATATGTATTGATCATGCTTGGTCACTATTTTATTCTTTTCAAAGTGATTTTATGTGATATAATGATTTAAACAGCTACAACACTCCCTGCTTTTAGTATTTTCAGGCCATTGAAATTCACTATAGCACTTGAACATTTGTGGTAAGCTTAGTTTATATCAACTGAATGTTCTCAATGACTTTTCATCTGTATAAAAATAAAACATAAGTAAGCGAAGCTGCACATAAGAATATATAATCTAATTAAACTTAAAGCCTATGAAACCAGTGTTATTTTGCTTGCTATGCGGTTACTCTAATATGGAAAGTGACTAGTTTTCTTATTTATTGCCGTAGTTAGATATTTGGTCACTTAATTTCAATACGTTCACGTTATGACATTCGTACATAATTATCTATAGCCTGTGTATTATCCATAAAAATCTAATTGTTTCCAAACTCTTCAGTGAAACTGAGCAAACATTTTTTACGTTCATCAATGACTCAACACAACCCAGAGTTTGTGGATCTACCACTCCAGGAACAAGAGTTCGATATTCCAACGAAGACGTACAGAAACAGTCTTATTCAATGCTAGACTTTTGCTTCCAGTTATTCAACGTAATAGGTAGTGGGTTATTAACAGTCCTAGATTATCGTAACCAATCGACAAAACAAAATGCCTGTAAGACATCACACATCAATACAAGTTGTAGTAAGCATGACTGGGAATACAAATTGGAGTCTAATTTTCTACTCCTTCTCGATGTTGGGATCAATTTGTTACTGACTAGTTTATCTCCTCATCGTTATACAAATCAATATGACAAGGTTTGTCAAAAGAATCAAACAAGCGACCCTATGTCATTTATCAACGCAGTATTCCTCATTGTTCCTCCTGCTGTCGACCTTATTAAATCTTCTGAATTGGTAAGTTCAGATTATAGGATGTATATATTGTGAGATTAATTAGCATAATTACAGGAAAAATAAGCGTAGAACAACATACATAATGACTAATTTTTGAAAAAAAGATTCGTGGTCGCTATATGTTTTGAATTAGCCGTTTTCAACTTGGTATCTGAAAACTCTAGCACTTCTAAAGGTACCTGAAAAGAAAATTAGATTAGAGTTGATCTTAGTGACCTGAGAGAGTGACCGCAGTGCCCAAGGGACAAATTCTTGAGACCGGTCACACACAACCTTCTTGTGAGTAGTTTTTGTGTTGGCTCCTTACTTGTTGAGATTTTATCAACGGAGATGGAAGTCCGTGGGATAAGGCGAGGTGCGCATTTGTAGGGTTGACCTTTTCTAACCCCACCCTTTCTTGTGGGAAGGCAGCATCACTGTTATGCTGGTTGTCTGAAGGAAATACCTTACTGCCTTCACACCTCTGTACAGTCAGCAGTACCACTTTTCCCTTGGACATTGAGTTTACTGCTTTTAGTCTTACCGACCTGTCTGGCAAGGTAGGGCCCTGAGGAACGACTGTTCCAGCCAGTATAGCCCAAGTGGTTCATTATCATAGACAAGACCGACCACCACGTCAAGGTGGCAGCAACGGTCGGATGACATGGCTCAGAATCTATCACAATGGTGTGGGCGTATACACTATTTGTCTTCTCTTAAACCGTGAGATAAAAATTACTTTATACCTGTCTTTCTACGAACTAACTATTTCTCTATCATATTTTTATATGCAATCTTTCCTTTATATATTACCACCGTTGAAGTAACTGCTTCTATGAATTTGACGTTCATCTTGTTATGCTACTTAGATATGGCAACTTGGAACGATGCATATATTTGCCTGATCCTACGTTGTAGCTGACTGACTGATTGACTGACTCTAGCGCTTGAATAACTCAATCTAATTAGTCTTAATTCCAAATATCGTACCATATCTTTTTATGGTGACATCTCGACAATGCTTATTCAACTCGCCTTCAGTTAAATAATACCATATAGGAAGAAATGTTAAATAATTGATGAGTTAATATGTGAATGTTCCATTTTGAATGTTGGTATTTTACAAGAAAGAATAAATGAATTTGAAATGAAGTTTAATCGAATTACCAAACTGTAACTTCAATCTATACTCGAATGATATTACAGTTCATGTTTTTCATTTACTTTAGTTGATTTCATTGTTTAACATAGCATTCTAACGACCTGGACTACAGTTACAAGATTTAGTCAGCAAATATCGTATAAACTTTTGTATATTATAAAATTACACTATACTGACTTTAGAACTGAATTATTCAACCTCTTTTCCTTATATTCTACAGATGGTTTCATTAGTTTAAACCATTTTACAATATTAGATTCGAATTTACTATAGTTTTTAATGGAATATTTCTAAATTTTATTGCATAATGAGATAAAAAACTTAAGTTTTTCTATTTTATCTTATTGCGTAATTTATTTAGCCACCTGACTTTTATACATGTATGGAACAGTTAGGTTCGGTTTTGTCCCATTATTCAACCAATCAAGTTCATGATAATGCAACAATCATGGAATCTCTCATAAGTTGGAATACTTTTGAGATGGTCAACTATATTAATAAAGCTAATTTACCCGGTGAATGTGAACGACAAACTTATTTTGGTTTGATTACTAAAATATTTCAATTGATTAGTTCTTTATTCACTCCAGAAACGGTATGTTTATTATTTAATTAGAATCATGATGATTATTATATTAAACTTATTAAATTAAAAAAACTTGACATTTTTAATGGTAGACAGTTAAAGACCAGATTATTCTGTTCGGATAGTTTTCATGATAAAATGAACCAGACTACTTCAAATTCAAATTGTTTTGAAATAATTATTGCATGATATATACTGATTTAAACATGAAATTCGAATCTCTTAGTTGATCTCCGGGCTAGTTAAAATTTGACAGCTGTTTTTTCCCCTTTAATAATTAATGGCTTCCAAATCGCTATCAGAATATAGTGTCAGACATTTAGCTATCGGGATAATCACATGGCATAAGTTGATGTTCTCTCACATTATGGAGTGGGCCAGTGTAACCAGTTGTCTAGGTAAGAAACAAATAAATTAAACCATACTCACACAGTTTTAGAAGCCGCATTAGATTAGAAGATATTTGCCTATCGATTCTCATTGAGTAATTTACAAGCCTTCTTTCTATCCAGATGAAACAGGTGCTCTGTACTCTAAAGTTTCTAGCGGTTCTTCGACCAATATTAACTTGTAATATAAACTAAATTGAAATCGATAAAGTCGTGAAGACTAATAAATTGGATGAAAACTCAAGGTTCTCATGGTGATTGTTATTTATCATTATTATTATGTTATTATTTTATATAAATTTCCGGGGGTTAAATAAGCTGTATATTTCACCTTAGTGTATTTTTTGATGTTTTATTACTTAACGTTATAAATTTTACAGCTAAAACTAAATAGATTTTGTCCATTTAGGCACTGGCCGTTCTTCCCACTAATGTTAAAAACCAGTTATCTGTTGCTCTGTTGGACATGTCATTACTAATTAACCCAGAACCTAGAAACGAATCACAAAAAATTGGACTACCAGCCTATGTAGCTTTATTCAACTTTACAATTTACACAACTTGGTTACTTTTACAACAACTTCAAACATCTATTTTTCATTTGATTGATTTTCTTGATATCAGTGAAATTTCACTTTTATCTACTTCTAATGACAAGGTACCTGTTCCTTGAACTAGATACATTACTTATATGTTTTATGTTATATGTTTATCATTTGATTATATCTTAATATTGAAATAAAACTTTAGCTTTTTAAGTACCATGTTTTAGATTCTCGTTAAGTGTTATTTAAAAATATTTGTACTTTGTTTAAAACAAATATTTATTGTTTTTGATAGAAAATAATTAGAGTTCAAAATAAGAATGATTAAGATAGTTGATTGTTTGAAGTAGTGTTTTAGCTAACTTGATTGCTTTTATTTATCATTTTGCATTGATAATAAAATCTAGCTTAGATGGTTGTTTACTTTGATAGATTAATGAAACCAATTTGAATTTGGCTGTGGATGCTGTGAACTCACTTGAAATCACCGGATCAACTCGTTTCGCTTCTAACTTTGTAGAGTTTCTGAGTCAATTGTAAGTTCCAAACTCTTTACTTTTTCTTGGATTTTTAGATTGTTATAAACTAAAAGAATTATTTCCGTGAACAGATCTAACTTACTAGGTATGAATTCACGTACTTCAAGCCATATCCCAAGGGTGAGTGGGGGCTTAAGCCGAAATAAGTGGAAAGCCTAACACATCGATAACTGAGCCACTGCTCTAATCTTTATGAATTGGAAACATATTTATTCACCATATAGTTCTGCTGAATTATAAAAATGATCATTTTGTCCGACATCAGATAACTTCGTGGTTCAACCTATTAAAAGCATTTTGTTCGGAAAAGGAAAAACGTGCAATACCTGTATCATCAGTTGATGTACCTAGTTCTGGAAGGCATCTTCGTTTCAATCTTATCTTCTCACTTTTGGTAGTTCCTCGCAATCCATGTATAATAGTTAGGTTTGTTACTGAATAGCCCTCAAATGCCCTGGTACGGCCAAGAGTGGGGAGATTCCACTCCCTCTCGAAATGCTTTCACATGTCCACGCGTATATAGCCTCTTCCAGGGAAGTCCTACTCATTGCCTTCTCGTAGTGGGGGTGTTGTTTACGAAAATGAGAGGACGAAAAGCGAATGTCCGGCGCTTTAACCGGGTTGGTGGACATGGAGATTCTACCTAGGGGAGTTGGAAAACCCTGATTCCAAACCAATGGTACACATGGGCTCCAGTATCCTGAAGGAACAAATGGCGTATGAGCAGATTGTTGGTCGCCGGCTACCATGGGACTGCATCTCCTCACGATGCTCCATTGCCTTGTGGATCAGACCTTCATGTCGAAGGCTCGGGGTGTGACCCCCTAAGAAAACCACCTGCTTCGGTTTGGGCACCCGGACAGTATCACAGCTCTCACACAAATCAAATGGGATTTGTGTGGTGCATATGCATTTGGTACCTTCTTGTACCAATAACTATGTGTTAAAATAAAAAAAACATTACTTCTTACCGTGTTAATAACTGAGTTGATCTTCCGTTACTGCTAGCATGATTTCGGTGATAGATGAATCAATATGTTTATTACTAGACGGTGGAACGCGATTACTTGTTCATACATTCAACAGATATTGGTTAACTCTGTCATCTATTTTCTGTAGTAACTGGCTATAATAATTATGTTGATGCATTTTGTGCACTAGATTAAACTGTTCAGCTTCCTGATAGGCAGTTGGTCAATCAAGATAAGTTATTTAAACAATGGAGTCTAGAGTAGTTGGAGTATTATCTCATGAATAATAACTAATTGATGAGAGGAATATGGTGACCCTCAATGAAAGAGCTTTTCGGTTTGTCAGACATAGGTTCTCAAGTCATATTCTGTCAGTCTTATTTTAAATACTCGTACACTTTGTTTTTCGCACTAGTGTTTCTTATTAACACCATGGTCATTGGAGACGAAGGTTGTGGATTGATTAAAGTAATTGGTTTTGTTGGCACTGTACTGAAATGCACAACGTTTGTCCGTTATGAAGATAATTTTCTTTAAAAATAACTATTGTGTTGTATACTTTTGAGAGGATTCATGTTTAATGATTAAAGGATTATCTTTGTATGTGAAAATTCTATTATAGCATGGGATATGGCGTTTATTTCCATGTATTAGAAGTAGTTCCGTTCATTTCAGGAAAGAAGAAATGGAGTTCAAACGTTTTACTGTGCTTGTTACAGTAAGAATAGAAGTAGACAAAACTGATCTATGACAGCATTTGAGGAACGTCTGATTGCTGTGAGCTGAGTGCACATAGTCTCGTCATACATTTGAGAGGTTCATGTTTTCTGCGGCAAAAATGTTTTCCAGCTCTCAATGTTCTTTTAATTTTATCTAAGTAGTATTATTAGCCTTTAATGGCAAAGCGTATAAACTAATATTGGGATTATATATTGTACATAAATAAAGTAAATATAGTTCTTTAACAAGTCAACTTATCTTACATTGCTGTTTTCAGTTGACTGAATACGTCCTAATTATACTGTTTAACCATCACTTATTCATTTCGTTCATCGTCACTTATACTATATTCAGCAAAGATAGTTAAGCAAAATTTCTATGGTATTGAGTGAATGTTTTTTGTGTTTATTCATTACTAGATTGTGTAGCATAATTGCCTGTGTAGACTGTAAGTCAGTCCAACTTATTGATTTGAACAGTTTGCAAAAGGTACCAGATAATTGCATGTATATATATTTTCGATTTATAAAATGCTTATTTTAAGCTCTTTTGTTTTTCAAAAAAAAACTGTATTGTAGCTTCTGATCATTTCATGTTTAAAGTAAATACTAAATAATATTTTTCTCTCTTTGATAAATTCACAGCTATGTAAAACATCAAAATACATCATCAACTATTTTATGGCGTGGTCAACTTGTCTTACTTCGGTTACTTAGCCATGAGTTGGTAGCTATTCGCAAGGCTACATATTCTCAAATACTTAAACTGCTGAAAGTTAGTTTTATTATATCTTTGAAAATAACGAGTATAAATGTTTCGGTTTGTTTGTTTTAGCATGAGTCAATTCACATTTTGAAATCTTTATTTTAGCGTTGAAATATATTGTACAGTAGTCGTATATTAATATTGAGATTTCTGTTGAATACAGTTATTGAGTTTATTTTTTCCTCACAGATCAAGATTAGTTGATGAATAATTGCCAATCAGGGAATTACTCGTTTTTGCTCATTTACAAACCTCGAATTTTATGTCCGTTAAGTTAGTATCCAGTAGCTCATATTCACAACTTCACTCAATTTATAGCATTGTGTAACAACCATTCAATTCGACCATTGATATTTGTCCTATTCCTAATGCAGTCGTAATTAACTGGTCACTGTTCTTTATTAAATCTCCAGGAATTTACATAAGGAAGAGCAAATGGTTAGTGAACTGATTGAAGTTGGAAATGTGAAATATATAATCTCAACACACTGGCCAGTTTGCGAGACCTAGATATCTTTTGTTCGATCTTATGACAGCTCTTGTGTGGGCATTTATAACGAATCTTAAACATTGAGATCATGAACCGATTGATGTTAGACCACCACCTTTGGAAACCTGGAAGCACTGGACGGCCGTTTCGTCCTATTGTGGGACTCCTCAGCAGTGCGCATCCACAATCCTGCTCGTGGGATTCGAACCTAGGGCCTTCGGCCTCGCGCGCGAACGCTCAACCAACTGGACCACTGAGTCGGCATCCAATGGTGATAGTGTCTAACATCAACCATGATCAGTGGAGCCAATCCATGTCGGGTAGAGACAGGTATCTTCCTCAGTACAATGGTAGATGGTCGCGTAATTTCGTGGATGGGTTGATGTTAGACACTATCACCATTGGATGCCGGCTCGGTGGTCCAGTAGGTTAAGCGTTCGCGCGCGAGACCGAAGGCCCTGGGTTCGAATCCCACGGACAGGATTGTGGATGCGCACTGCTGAGGAGTCCCACAGTAGGAAGAAACGGCCGTCCAGTGCTTCCAGGTTTTCAATGGTGGTGGTCTATTATCAATTGGTTCATGATCTCAATCAAAAACTTAATAATCTCCACAACCCCTATACTAGGAATCTTAAGCAGTTGTCCATTGCTTCCTGGTTTTTGATTATTGTTTAGCCATTGTCCAATCCATGGTGAAGAACTAACTTTTGAATTAGATGTGACTAAGGTTTAGAATCTATGTCCACAAGTTGTCTATCAGTCCATTATGAATAATAGTGAGCGTTACGTAGTTTGTATTAATTGAACCCGAAGGACATTCCTGTCATAGTAAAACATCGTAATACTTACTACATCTTTCATACTTGAAGATGTATTTGTATGAAATACTCTATTTGGTGATAACGTCAATGTTCTTTGTACCCTACATATTTCGACAGGTTGCTATTCATCCAAATTTTGCTGCAAATCCATCTTCTTCTTTGGATACTGTTAATTTTCTTCTGGAAGATGAGATTCTATGTGAATGGATCAATTTCGGTTTGAAAGATGAAAATCCAGAAGTAATTTATTATTTTTGGTTACATAATTTAAAGTTGACTTGTTAAACTATACATTAGAAAAATGATTATTAGAAATAAAGAAACAGTGATTTTTCTCTAAATGTTTGGTTTATCTTCACACTGTTCATATTTATGATAACGATATCGGTAAAGTTTTCATTAGGATCTACTCATTTAACAATCCGAGTTACGACCAGTATGCTTCACCAAATAAGGTGAACTAATGAACTAAAGGACTGATCGAAATGAAGTATTTGTATATTACTCAAACTCATTATCAAAGCACTAACCGGTGATATTCTTTTGCATAAAGCATTACCTAATTCCAGATTTTGTTTACTTGTATATTTCGCTTGCATACTTTGAAATTTTTCCGGAGAATAGTTTTAAGGAGAAATTTTATGGTTACAGTTGAACAATTACAAAAAACCTATTTGTATTAAACATTTACTATGACTACACAATTTTTGGACAACTAGTTTATCGAATAACTTTATTAGTATAACTAATTTATTTAGGTTTTCTTACTTAATTCAGATTCGTCTAATTGAGTTAAGTCTGCGTGGATGCTTATTCTTGAACAAGTAAAAGAACCATGTAACTGGCCAAGAATACAGATCATCCTATTTACTGTCTAATCATTCTTATCATTTACTAGCGAACCTTTGGGAGTATTTCAGCTAATATGTATAGCTAATTGTCAAACAAATAGTTAACATGTATGCAGAGAAATGTTCCGAATTACCGATTCTAACTTTATTTTACCTAGTTCAGTGTAGGTAGGTAGGCTAGTAGTTTTTATAGCTTATTAACAAAATGTATGACTTAAATTCAAGTACATTAATTTATACTTGCTAAATTTATTTTATTTTATTTATTTATTTATAATATCAATGTTAAAATATAATCCTTTAGGTTTACGAAAAACGTTTTTGGCTTGTACCAGCCAAATGTCCATTGTTTGGTTTGTCATTAGAATAATCCTACTTTACTAAAGGAACTCATTTGTTTACTTCTGTTGAGGTGAATTAGAATTATAAAAATAACCAGATAATACGTGATTCGTTGCAAGCTAATTGTTTGCATAAAATTACATGCAATAATAATGAATGTATTAACATGCTCACCATATAATTGTTATTTTAATACTAAGATAAACTATATTCGTAATGAAGCTTCATTAATTATTTCATTTAAAAAATACTCTACTTATTTTAATCAGGTAGCTTCATTAGCTTGTGAAGGATTCGCTTTATTGTTAAATTCATATGAATATATAAGTGATACAGGATGGAAAAAA